GGATAATAATACTCTGAGGGGTCACACAATTGTAGTCCTAAATAGGTTCGTGACCCTAAACAAGGTAGGGTTTTCGGAACACTCGTGTTCCCAGTCGGACACTAATTTATGACCTTTTACGTCACCTTTTAATCAGGTCGTCTTTCCAGGAGCACGCAATTCTTGAGTAGGATGCTGATGTTGACAGAGCACAGTCTGCTTGAACTGTTATGAAATTTTATTCTAAATATTCTGTCTAAATACATGGAGGTTACCAAATTTTGGCAAATCAGGAAATTCTGTTTCAACTATCCTATTATGGAAGACATGTCTGGATAAGATCACCGCAGCAATAATAATAACATTTATCATAAAAATTACAATTTCAGACTCCAGCTGCGCGGTCGTTCGATTGTAATATTACTTGTATGATTACAGGCTGAATTGGACTCCACTTAGTCCTATTACCATTGTTTATTCAAGCGAAGTTTACGACGTCTGAAAACAGACGCCAGCTCTTGCAGAAATAAGAAAAGCTTGCTAATACTGCACCAGCAATACTAAAACCACTTTTTTGTTTATTTGTTTGTTTGTTTGTTTTTTTTTGTGAGACTGATAAGCAAAGTTCCACAAAAAAACCCGACAGCGGTGAATGTACGATTCACTTTTGCACAATAGAAATTTGTGCGAAATGTTTTAGTTTCTTTTAATGGCTACGTCTGTGATTGACATGTCTGCCTATCAGTGAAGTTTTGATAGAAATATATTTGTTCGGATGCGACCAGACCACCGTTAAAAATTGGAAAAAACTTTATTTTTCCCCGCAAAACATTGGAAAACAATTTTTTCCGAGTGCAACCCGGTCATATATACCACATCTGCGGTAGAGAAGAAGGCTTCAGTGCCCCACCCTCATTCAAACTTTCCTTGTACCCTGCCCTCCCTCCCCCCCCTCCTTATCCATTCCCAGAGGAATACGATGCAAACATTAGACAAGGAAGGACAGAAGACCTCTCTTTTTATTTAAACTCGGGTGTTTTAATTTTACTCCTCACTTTTTCATTAGGTTTAACTGGTGAGTTATCGAATCTAACAAAAGTATTTTCTCGGTCCTCAAAAAGGATAACATCCAATGTTTCCTTTGATGTGTTTTTGTACTTAATAAACACCGTTATGTGATTTGATTTAACATATGAAAAATGAATCATTCTGTAAATGGCGACTGGCAAAAAAAGCAGGCTTGGGAGATGCCGAGACACCGTTTCTGAATATCCGCGACAGATATTTAAAAACAATCTAGGAAAACACCCAAACATTCAATGCTCGAATTACATAAAGACACCATAGATGTTGCTTTATGCTTGCGATAATCTCTTCTGCCTCTGTTTATTTGGTAAATCAGCATCAACAGTTCGATGCTTTTAATTTGTACCAATCACCACATCCCATTTTGATAGAGCATACAACTTGACGAGTGCACACAAAAAACAACAACAACAATGAAGAAACAAAAACAAACACGTCTGGCCGCGACTATCATAATCGAAAACCAAACAATAGCAACATTTTATTTTGACAATTGGGGAGCTGACAAAAGACAAAAATATAACATATCGACCCGGCCGGCTTCAACTTTTCGATGGCACTCCTAATTAGTTTTAAATGATGTTTGTCAAAGGTTAACCTTTTCAGTATTGTTCTCCAGTTTTAAAAGCCTCCGCAAACACAGCGGAGCTTCTGCTTCTAAAGTTCCTAACAATAGGCAACCAGAAAAGAAATTTCTCAAACGGAAAAACCTTTGGTGATTTTGCAGTCAGTTAAAGCGATATTCAAGACGGCGATGGTCTATCGAAGGCTCGTCAACTGGAAGCAGACAATGGATGAAGAGACTTTGGACGACAAAAACACACATGATAACTTGGCGTGGCACCAGAGATTTCTAGGATATTGCTGTCACGTTATCTCCTTTGAGGGATATTCCACGTCGGGTTTAGTCCGGTTTAAGGTGAATAGTTTCATTCGATTTTTTGTCTTAAAGAAAAAAAACAAACAAACAAACAAACAAATAAAAACATAAATGAGGCAAGAGTTGGGAGAAATTTGCAAATACCCGAGAACCTGACTTTATATTTTCCTGATTAAAAAAAAAGAGGAGAGAGCTACTAAGAGGTAAACATATGCTGATGAAACACTTGTGGCATTCCAATGCTTCCACATATAAAGTGCTCAAAACAAAGATAAAACCACAGAATGAGGATTAAGACTCCAGATAAGAAAACTCTGAGGATAGATCGAAGACCGGAATTGTATAGTCTTTGTTTAGCTATCGCTGTTGCTGTTTCTCTAAAGATCTCTTTGGAAACGCAGCAGCTCAATCTGCGCGACATCTTCATGAAGATAGCTGGGGACATTTCTGTTCTACCAGCTTGGGTCAAAGTTCTTTGATTCGTACAGTTTCATATGACACTATCTAACTATAAAGGGAAACAAAATGTTTTTACATACCGGATATTTGGCCACACCCAGAAAGGGAATAAAAACCATCGTGTGGGCTGTGTGAAGAATTTTAAAGAGTTCATTGTTTACCTTATCGATTACATTAATTACCCATAAAGTATCATCTGCAAGTTTAAAGCGTCATTTACCTCGCAGCGTCTCCGGGAGTAAAGCTTTGCGAAAGTTAAGAATCCTTGAAAAGTCTTGCATACAGAGACGAAGATGACTGCCAAAGTTTTCTTCTTCGTTATTGCCGTTCTATTTGTGATGCAAATTGAAGCTAATCCTCTGTACGACCGAGATTTTTTTCGGAGACTACACATGCGTAAGTACAACAAATATAATGTCGTGCAATAAGGAGAGCATTTTTCCCTTTCAACCAAACCGACGTACGTTTTGAACAAGATGTGAATATTGTCAGGGCGTACGTAAAGTGCGCGGAGCTAACAATTGTTATAAATCATATGCGATACATTCTTCCTGAATATGTTAGACGTACCTTCATGAGATGGATGCGCCACAGTTTCTCACAAATTGTCTCAAGGGGTAGCAAAATGAAGGCGAAAGGACGGACCTTTCCTTAAACATAGTCAGAGTTTAAAGAGTTCAATAGGAGACCTTTACCCACCTAACCCCTCCACCCAGTCCCTTCCTCCCCTCTGTCCGCTGCGTGTTCTGCAAATACATTGTCTGCAATATGATAACATTCAAACGCTGAAGTTAAATTTTCACAAGGACCCAGCGGTTCTGATGGTTAAAAGTTTTTTTTGAAAATTAATGACTCTGAAATCCCGGCTGTCGATCAATCGATTAAGCCAAAAGCGAATGACAATAACCGCGACATGCGAGAGAGAAGTCACACGCGCTAATGTGTATCTGCTTTCTCGCGCGCGTTTACTTTCGTTCGCGCCAAGCGTCTGCTCCGCAAACAACCATACTTCTTGCATAGCATCAACATCTGTATATCTTTACCGCTGTATTCTTTGCACGAGATACGTATATTTTTTAATTAGAATCTTTCTTTTGCCCTGCTTAATATAATTATTGTTATTATTATCATTATCATTGCTAGAATATTTCTAATTAATTCTTACAAACAGAACCAATGATGGACGAACACCCGGATGCATACGCACGTCGACGGCTAGGTAAAGAAAAACGAAAGAAAGAAGGAGTGGGTCATTAAAATCAGAGGAGAGAGGCGAGCGGAAAGGGAAGAGAATTTAGAGCTTTTTTGCGCGTCCTCACATACGCGCGTTTTACTTGCTATTTTGCAGATATTCGAGACTCTTTTGTTGCTGTTGTTAGTTTGTTCGCTTTTGTCTTTGAAATTCAAATATTTCTACAAGTTCTCCTTTCCTTACAAATAGAGCCAATGATGGACGAGACTCCAGATGAGTACATTGCTCGACGTGAAGGTAAAGATGTTGTTCCGTATCTTTCTCATACCTGCAAGTCAACGTATAAAATATCGTGTAGCGGGACCTAACCTTTTCCGAAAGGGATAACCTTTCAAAGAGAGGCACAGAATGCTAAGAGGAACAATTGATATGGTTTACAACATAAGAACACGCGATTCAGTCGACGACCACCAATATTGATAAAAGGGCAGAAGCAAGAGTGATCTGGTGAATTGCAGGCAACCATCATTGATCAAAATCCGAACATCAAATCAAATGGGAACGGTTAGGTCTAACAAATTTTTACGGTGACAAATTTCTCCGGGCAAAACTAACTCGATAAAAAAACGACGCAGAACATGTAGCAACCATTAGAAATAGTTGTCCAAAAACAAAAGCAAGTTACGTGAATAACATGTCGAACCGCGCTCCAAACCAAGCTAAATCATGCCACAAACCTGACCCAAAAACTCTCTTCTCGGGATGAGACCAGTATGCAGCATAATAAATTTATTATTGTTATCAATATTTTACACAAAAGAAAAAAAGCAAAGTAAACAAAAACAAGCATTCTACTAGTCAATACACATTTTTTTTTCATTTTTCAGAGCTCATACACGGCAGGGGACTCTGTGAGAATGAAAACAAGGCGTACTGCGAACAATGGAAAGCGTATTGTGACCAACCCGCTTTTTTTATAAATGAAAATCGCTATAAAATGTTTGTCAACAAGATGTGCACAGCGGCTTGTAACAGATGCAAATAGGTATGAATTAACTCTAGGGGATGACTCTGAGCTCCTGAAAAACATCCCCCTTCGAAAATTTTCTCAAAGATGAGTCTAGAAGTGGTCATTGCTATCGATGATTTAAAACAACAAAAGATTAAATAAACCATAGACTTTAATGCTGCATAATAACCATAGACTGTAATGCTGCGTAATTTAAGCTATTTGGGTCATCACTGGGTATTTAATTGATACCTGATTTTTTTCATAACACTATGATGTAATTAGGCTCAGTCCTCTGGCGTGTGTGTTTCGGTGCGCCCGCGAGAGAGGATTGCCGGTTCACCGAAACAACACAGCGGTCAAACGAAAGGCATGCGCAAGTGAATCAATTTTAGTCAGGTACGCGCCAGTTTCCCCCATAAAATTTCAAAGGAAAACATGAAAACAACCGCTGTAACGCCAAATATGCGAAAAAGAGAAATTAAACGTTCAGTTAAAATTTTAAGCGGAGAGGTGTTAAGGGAAAATTAATAGAACAGTCGAAACTTTTCACACACATTACTTATATAGGTACAGGTTTCCTCATTAGTTATGATTTACTTCAAAACAAACTGAAAAGCAATACCAATTTAAAACACAGCAACTTAAGCTTCCTCGCTCATGTGGTTGTTCATAAGATAACTCGGTCCGTAGCCTGACCTCTACAACATCCGCACATGCGCAGATGTTTGACAGCTGTTTCTACCGAAACACCCTCGGCTGAGTACTGCACCCCGCGACGAGTGTTGATCCATCAAAGAGTCTGCTTTGAAAAAAAAATTACGAAACCATTTTGAGACAGGGAAGGGTCGTTAAGCAATTGCATTTTCTCCCTTCTCTGATGTTTTGTTGATTTTATTTTTTTTTAGGTAAAGACGTGGTCCTTTTCGTAGAAACACATAGTTTTGATGCAAGTTTTTTTCAATCTTGTCGAGGCAAAATGACTTGTGACGCAGAGTAGCTGTAGTCGATAGCTTCATTAGATAAAATTCATTTTTGTACTTTATGGCAGTACATCCTTGTAAGTAAAAATGTTGATTTTTGATTAACAATTAAATCCTAATTACAATAATTGTTACTGTTATTTTTTTTCTTACCGAAGGATTGGTAAATAAAACAAGGTTTGCGAAACGCTTTTTTCCATGACCATTTATTGAATTGTAAAGCTTTGAAATTGTTGAAAAGGAGCTGTACTCGACTTTGAAGTCCGCCTTTATTCCGTTATAAAAATAACTTTTACAGAAGCAATTCACCTCCTCTACTCTATGGTTTTATCCGGAAGGAACGAGACCATTTGTAGTTTAACCCTTTACCCGTAAGATTGACCTCCTTTTTATTTCTCTTCAGTGTCACTCTAAGTTAAACGTAAAGGTCATGACTGAATAAAGGAAATGCTCACCAGTTCAAATAGCCCCTGATTGTCAAACAAAATCACCATGATTTTTCCATAGGAAATATAGTGAGAACATTGTGGAGACAGGGAAAATTAGTTGAGCGATTTTGGATCTGTATAGTTTTGCTTCACATCGACCTGTGATTTGTCTCGAAATCTCGTGCAACTCTCGCAGCCCTGAGATGGTGAACAAAACCCGACGTGACTTATACACAATAACCCATTGCCATTAATTTTGCATTGAATTGGCTGTGCGACCTAATGAATTTATGACTTCCAAGTCACAACCGTGTTTTAACAACGTGAATGCTGCATGTTAGCTACTTGAACTCACGGCCATGTGCAACGGCGTCACCTCGTCTCGATCAGTCTTCAAACTAGCGTCTGCACCAAACTTAAGCAACATCTCTGTAAGTTTACCGTTGTCATTTTGGGCAGCATAGCGGAGAGAACAACACGAGTCCAAGTCTCTAGCCTTGGCGTCACAGCCAAGTTCAAGAAGAAGTTCGGCAACATTTTCTAAATTCATTCTAACAGCTATGAGAATAGGTGTCTCCCATCTATCATTCTTGGTATTAACATCAGCTCCAAACTGAAGAAGAACCTTAACAATTTCCATTGCGTGTGAATTGTCTCTATTATCAAGAACACAAGCAAGGACGGTGTCCCCATTCATGTCCTTAAAATTAACTTCCACACCCGTTTTTAAAATAGCACGCATAGAGTCAACGTCCCCGATCAGAGCTTTTGATTTCAGTAAGGTATCGTCTCCTTTGATCTCGTGAATAACATTTCCATCATCAGAGAGATTGATTCCGCCAAGTTTGTCAACAATGTCTTTAAGATTGTGCTTGACAGCGTATGATACAAGTGACCTTAACACACCCCCCCGGGGTGGTAGTATCTGCTCCTCTGTCTATCAGAAGCATAGCAATTTCTCCATTTCCTGTCTTTAAGGTGCAGTACAGGGGAGTTATTGAATGGCCGGGTGTGCAATATGAGTCAGAATCATAATCACTGTTGCTACCGTAGTCATCATAGTTGTTTTCTTCCCTCTCGTGGTTGTAAGTGTCATCATCATCGTTCTCGCTACAAACATGACCATTAACGTCAGCACCTCGGTCCAAAAGAACTTTAACAGCTTGAAAATTACCTTCCCTGGCAGCTGAAAACAGAGCTGTTTCTCTGCGGTGTGCGTCAGGGGCATCTACAGGCAAACCCAGGTCGAGAAGGAGAGTCAAAACATCTACAAAGCCTTATTCAGCAGCTATAAACAGGTAAGAGGGGACAAGTAAATCTGGATTGGACCCTCTTTGAAATAAAATTCTTGCGGCCTCAGCTTGGCCATGCACAAGTCAAAGCAGACCAAATTGGTGCATCACCTTTAGTCATCCCAATTTCTGCGTAAACGTTTGCACCGTGATCTAAAAGGTAACCGATTGTCCCACAATGGCCCTTTGCGACAGCATTATGCACAGCGTATCACCACTTAAGTGCCTTAAGTTTACGTCGGCTCCGCCGTCAACAAGAAACTTAACCAATTCGAGACTAGACGCCATAGTCAGAGCTTTGTTTGTCATTAAATCCATCCTTGGGCCTCCTTTTGAGATAAGAAACTGCACTACATTCGCGTGGTTTTCTTTAGCAGCATAATCTAGAGCGTTACAACTGTCCTCATCGCAAGCATCTACATCTGCTCCATTATCAATAAGTAAGCGAGTGGCTTCTAAGTTACCCCCTCGTGCTGCTAACATAAGCGGAGTTCGAAGCTCCCGATCGAAAGCGTTTACATTAACATTATACTCAAGCAGAAGTTTTATTACATCTGTGTGTCCATTCTTTGCCGCCAGATGCATCGCCGTTTCATTCTTAAAGCTTGTCTTAGAAACATCAGCTCCAAACTCTATTAAGCGCTGTGTATTTCTCACATTACCACCCATTACAGCACAAAGAACAGGAGTAAAGCCGTCGCCATCACGAAATTCAAGAAAGGCGCCACTCTTGATTAGAAAATCTATAATTTATTCTTTGTTAAACCTGACTGCAAGCATTAGAGGACTTGGATTGTCCCCAATCAAACTGCTTTCAGGCAACTGAGAATTGACATATTCGCCTAACCACCGATCTAGTAGTAGTATCTAGTAACCACCGAAGATGTCCAGAATGGCCCTCCATAGCAGCCAAGGAAAGGAGGGATTGAACTTGGACGTTCCTTGTGACATTTTCCAAAAGTTCGCTGATCAGTTTAAACTGCGGAGAGTTCTTCTACCTCAAGGCCGTTAAAATAGATTTGCCTCCAAAATTTGACGCATTTGGAGCAATTTTGACCTCAAAGCTATGGCACTGTAAAGTTTGTCTGGACTGCATTCCATAATGGTCTTCACAGTCTCGATGTCCCCCTCAATATAAGCCGCGTGTAGAGAGCTCAGGCCGCTCTCTTTGATTAGTGTGGCTAACGAACGCAAGGCCAGATACTTCAGTGACAGTTAAAATGCGTACAAAAGAGTTTTTTTCAATCTTTGAATATGAAGACAGGTAAATCTAGGTAAAGTAACATCACAAACAAGCTTAGTGACCGTATCGGGGGATTTTTTTTGGTATAGATTGAAACCCAGCCAGACTCTTAAATTACTGTCAAACACTCTGCCAATGAACTAAAAAACTCTAATGAATAAATCAGTAGATGCCATTGACGTCTATAAATAACTGACATCACGCGTCACGCGCATCTACAAGGTTGACTCTCTCAGGATCAGGGTAAGTATCACTGCATCACACCTGAACACAGGATGATTTTCACTTTTAACCCTAATAAAGCTACTGTTTTACCATAGTAGTAGTTGGCTGATGAAAAGATGCGAATTATTACCGAGCTCACTATCATTTTCTCCATTAGTAAAAATTGTTTGTCTTAACAGGCCATCTCTATAAATCTGAAAATCGATCGCAAGACACTTCCAGTCAAGGCAATTCAACGTACCTGAAGGGGTGCGTGACAAAATCGAATGTCCCAGAATCCTCAGTGATATGCACAAATGTTTTGGCTGGGTAACCAAGCCAGCCACCATCTCGGCCACGAATTTGACGGCAATACCTCGAGTGAGCTTTTGCTATGTTTCATTGTATTCCATTTAGAAAACATGGGTGATCGTGGTTGGTGAAGCGATAGTACTATATCAGGGTCTCTCCGCCATCGCCATCTGAAAATGTTTAACGCGCTAAAGAAATGGGCGAAAGGGGGCAATGAAGATTCCAAACTCAACACTCCATTGGGAGTGCGTGCGATGGGCCAGGCGTTACAACGAAAGTTTGCCCGGGGCGTTCAGTATAATAGTAAGTTATGTAGATTAAAAAGTTAGGTAGATTAAAAAGTCACTCACTTGCCTCTTTTTGTGTATTTTATTGATCGTTTATTTGATCTTTGGCCAGATGGTGTCTGTAATCTTGTTGACCTTTTTCTCGTCTGCCCCTATTGTGTGAAAATTTCTAAATTTAGAACACAAAAATCTTCTCTTACTTTAATTATTGCCACGAAAATTTGATTATTTCCTATTTCCTGTGGTAATTCATAGATCTGAAATTCATTCAACTAACTGCTTATACTGTATAATGTTATTTTTGTATCGCTGATTTTGTTTCTGATCTACCATACTTTGCAACAGTTTCTGGAAAAATTATCACATTATTATGATCTTGTTTCAGACACTGAATGTTGTGATCTTTCTGAATAGTTTTCGACGATATGAATACCTTTCAGTTTCTCCTTAGTCTGTCACTTTTTGTTTATTTGTCTCTACAGTTATGAAATTTAATTCAAGAGCAGTAAATAAAAGAATATTTATTTCATACATACTGAACGAACGACTGTGAAAATTGTATCGTTCGTCCAATCAGAGATACGGACGATAGTGCTTCACAGTTGAGGGCAGCAAACGGCTTCCAATCTTTGAAATGTATCGTTCAGCGTGAAAAAATCATAGTATGTATGAAATTAAAAAACATCATACCATGGAAAGTGCTTGAATGATTTTTAATCACTGGTTGCAATGCATCAAAAAACTCATTTGTTCACTGTACTCACTTGTTTGTTTTTTTATTGTTTGTTTTTTTATGTATAGCAACTTGTGAATAAAAATCATTCATGTGTTTTTCCCATGGAATAATGTATATATATATAGATGTATATAAATATGTATACGACACATTTTGCAAATTTATGTAATGGAGTTTATTATCATCATCATTATCATTATATTATTAACATGAAAGATTATTGTATTATTGTTGTTAAAATGGTCACCAAGATCCAATTTCAAAATTATTGATGTTAATAACTTTTAACACCCCAAAATCAGTAGGTGTATTTTCCACATTGTTCTCTACACTTTTTCTAAGGTGCTAACAAAGATAATTTTTTAAACAATCAAGAGCTTCTTCAGTTGGTGATCATTTCTGTTATTCTTGTGACCTCAATGTTTGATTCAGGGGTGATATTGCGAGGAGAAATTAGAAACTAATCACTCTCAGGGGTTAAAGGGTTAAAGTAATCCATCCATGCTTGGCTATAATAGGAACAAAACTTCTGATTCATGTTAGTAGTAATTATTTGTATATGTGAAAAAAAAAAAAAAAAAAAGAAAATCAAACTACATGTGAAATTGTCTTGATTCCGATTAATTATACCGTGTAAAGGAATGCAGAAATACAAACTTTGTTTTTAAAAATTTTATTTCAGTTGTGACCTTCCCAAATTTTTTCTTTCTTTTTGTAGTGAAAATAGTTATAAAAGGAGACAGAAACACTGGAAAGTCCTGTTTGTTTCAAAGACTTCAAGGAAGACCATTCAATGAACAGTATATTCCAACAAATGAAATTCAGGTTTGTCTAGTGGTGCTTTTAATTGGGTGTCGTAATCCAAAACTAATGATAATAATTAAAACACAAAAGAAACCAATCAGAGTTATGAAGGTGATTATGGCATAAGGGGTACATAACTTAGCTACAATATGGTTTTGGTTCTTTATCAGATAGGCAGAGATGATGGTGTGAGCTTGCCAAACCAGTTTAGACATTCCTTAATTTACTTTTATTCAGAAGCGTAGCACCCTGTGTGAATGCAAGGGATATTTGTTCTATAACTGAGGACCTTGTGGATAACTTGATAAAAAGTTGGCATTAGACATGTTTGAGTTCAAGTTTGATAGTTACAAATCAAAATTGTTCAGCTATTTGATTTTTGAAGATATATAGATTAAATGAACAATATATTTTAATTTGTCTCAACCTGTAGGTTGCAAGCATACACTGGAATTACAGAAGTAAGTTGAACTATTAATAAAAATACTTGTGGAGACTGTATATTGAGTTACCAGTGTTCTTTTCATTCTTTTTATTAACAAAGTCTTAAGTTTACATGTATAATCTTAGTTTCCTAATCAACAGAACTTTGAACCTGCACACCATTTGTTGTCAGAAACTTTCATGTCTGTTTAACCCTTCAACTCCCAGATCAAATTTGTCATTCTCTTTACTATCAACCATAAAATTCTTATAATGTTAGTTGAGAGAATTAAGTATTGGATCAAATAATTATCCCCAAATTGACCTTTTTCTTTATTCTCATCACTTATCTTGTTAATATTGTGCCGATGTTGTAAGGAGAAATTCTGTCTCGGTCACTCATGGGAGATAAAGGGTTGATATAAAACTGACCACTATACAAGTATGCATTAACTGATAAGCTATTTTCCAAATTTCTCTAGCCACTGATGATGTTGTGAAGGTGGAAGTCTGGGATGTTGTAGACAAAGGTAAGAACAACTTTGATACTTTCATTTCTGAGATCCTGTTAACCCTTTACCTCCCAAGATCTGATTTTTTATTCTCCCCTCTACAGGGCGTGAAATTGCGCCTAATACAGGCGCCAGTATGCCTAAATTTTTCACTTTGGCGACCAAATCCTGAAAGTTAGTCGCCAAATTGGCGACTAGAACATTTCATTATAACCTTACCAAGAGATATAGTGAATTAAAAAGATTTGCAAAGATAAATCCGCGGCAAACTTCCTCGTTAAGTCTGTTTTCAAAACGTAGCACATGCATCTCGATCGATAACTAGACGCCATCTTGGATTTAGATTAGCCTGAACGTTGTATATCATCCATCCTAGTCCACTTTGTAGCACGTTAATTTTGGAGGATCTATCAAGCACGCAGACAGCGTAAAGAAAGATTTTGTTTGTCGTTAAAAATGGCAACCAACTTTTTTTGAATTGGCTACCACTTTGAAGAATTTAGTAGCCAAGTGGCTATCAGAAAAAAAAGTTAATTTCACGCCCTGCTCTAGCTTCTAACATGTGTCGAAAACATTGTGCCCTTACCAAAAACAATATGCACTAAAAACTTTTACCAGATGAGGGTAAATTTTACCCAAATGGACCAATCAGAGTGCTTTGTTTCCTTAGGTCTCCTGCTGGGTAAAGTTTACCCAATTGGAGTAAACTTTACCATTAGCAATTCGCAAAACAGAGCTCTTATGTGGGCTGCATCATCTCCGAATAATTATAATCTGAACATATCCTTGTTAATTAGTTATGAGAATTTGGTGTAAGATCGAGATAACTTCTCCCTGATAAGTTTGAATATTCTCATTACTTGCTTGCTGGATAATATAAGGATATTAGAGGGAGAAGTTACATGTTGATCACTTCTGGGAGTTAAATGGTCAATAATTTCCCATACAGACTACATGAACAATACCTTTATCAAGGCAGTACCATTAAGCTGATAATCTGGTTGGTTCTCATAGCCTGTTTGCATGATAACAGAGTGGAATCACAGGGAGAACTTACATGTTGATCCCCACTGAGATTGAAGCAGTTTGGTATCCCAACAGCTGTTATGTTCTTTATCAATCAACCAATGATTCTATAAGAGACCTAACAGAACCTATACAATCAAAAAATCAGTTAAATTTTTTTTAATCAATCTATTACCTCACTGAGATGATTGGTTGTTAAACAGAAACATACTTTTTTAAAATTAACATATACCAGAAGATTCACATGTCTCCTTGTACAGCTGAATGGAAAAAAGGTTACACTGCAAGTGATCAATAGCTTTTGGTCAATGTTTTTGACATTTTACCTTTGCTTTGATTTTGAAGGGAAGAGAAAAACATCTCACTCCAGCAGTCTCAAGCTAGAGAATGATACAAAGGATAAGGTGATAAACACATTTTCCCTTTCACTCTTTTTCTAAGCCATATTAATTAACGAGTAATTTTTTTAATCAAAGCTTTTCTTTAATTTGATCATGCAATATTTTAAGATGTTTAAAATAAGTTGAATGGTATGTGAATTCAAAATGAATCTTTTTTTTTTCACAAATGGGGATAGTGGTATGTTTCTTACTGTAAGTTGTGTTCTCCCCCAGAATGTTGCCTTAATTTCTCTAAATTTTGGTTCATGTTTACATTCTCTGTTTGGGAAAAAAAAAGATTATATATCAAAGGAAGATCAGTGGATGTTGTTAGAAGGAAATCAGGCTATTGACATACACATTTAGCTGGTTGTTACTTTAAGTGTCTTTTTTTTAGTCCTTATAATCTTGTTCCTGTTGAAAATATTGTTGAAAAAAGTCAACTAATAAAAATCTATTCTGAGGTGTTTCTCAGGGAAATATTGTGGCATTCAGACCTTGAGGTTGGTGGGGGTGGGGTTGGTTAATATTTGCAAGGGAAGGTGACTTTTTTGTTTTTAGGCAATTGATAAATGAAAAGGACTATTAATTTTTGACTTTAACTATTTTGAGAAGGATGTTGATTTAATCAGTAATTATCAGCTACAGTGTATGCAGAGGTAAAAATTTGTGCTTTTACTGTCAGTGCAATTTATTAGATAGAGCATTCTGCTAAAGTTGATTTCTTCTCTTACTCTCTTGATTCCAGCGCTCCACTGGTGGTAGTTTTCTTTTAGCAATTGATGGAGAAACTTTTGAGGTCTAACTAAGGATTTGACTTCTTTTAGAAATCTTTGATAAGCTTTCATCCGCTCTATATCCATGTAAAGTAGATTACATCTTTACAGTGTTGTCACCTGACCAAAGTCCACTTTTGCAAACTAAGATTCTCAGGAGTGGGTCTCTCTTTAGTTGTCATTTCATTTTTCTGCATCATGGTTTCTCTTCCCATGTTTTGGTTGGCAAGCTAGCTTCACAAGTGCTCTTTTATCTACTTCATGTCCTTCCTTTGAATCAATTCTTCTGTGTGAGCACATTGTACCATTGTAGCTTACTCCGGTTTCCTTTAACCCTTTATTTATCATTGACTAACATGTTTTTAAGACTCTAACTCACACCAATTGTTTGTTTGACCAGAACTTTATTAATAATAGTAATCACATCTAATTACTAAATATATACTGCAGTCCAATCCCAATAACTCTAACCTTCAAGGGAAACTAAAAAGGGTTGAGTCATTAGAAGTTGAAAACAAATGACCAGAAACAAGGGAAAAATGGTGTTTACTTTTTTTTTTCTATGCATACAGTATACATTTTAATCAAATTTAATAAGGGAAGTCAACTAAAAATGAAATCCTTAACCCTTTAACTCCTAAGATCTGATTGTTAATTCTCTCCTCTAGCTGCTACACATTTCCTTGTAAATTGGTTATGAGAATTTGGTGTTCAATCAAGATAATATCTAGTACCTGATAAGTTTGAGTAATCTCACTACCTGTTTGCTGGATAATGTATGGATACCATATGGAGAAGTTACATGTTAATCACTTCTGAGAGTTAAAGGGTTAAGTGCTGCAGAAATCACACTGTGATGCAAATATTTCAGACTGCAATACTGGTTTTTTTAAATTTGTCTTGTATTGACAGAGGTGGTTTGAAGTGTTTTGAGTTATTGAGGGTAAAAATATAGAGAGAATATGACCTGAAGGGAAACAAAAGTTTCTTTGATTTAGTGGGAGGATTGAGTCACAGAGCTGAGGGTAACATTGCAATAATGTATGACTAAAATCTAGGGAAATTGATTTTGGTTCAAGTTAGTGTGAGGTTCGAGTTGTCAAGGGTTCAAGTTATTGGAATGCAACTGTTTACACTCTGTTTGCTTTGTTTGACCCTTTGATGCTCAGGAATTATCAAAAAGGACTATCCCATACATGTATCTTTACATGTAGCTATAAGAAAAGTATGGCAGACAATGCAGAGAATTGATATTTTGATCTTGAGAGTTGACAGGTCATCTGCTCTAACCTATATTTCACAACATAATAATAACCAGTGAGTAGCACGAGGCATCGTATTCCATAAATTAATCCCTTGAAATTCATCTCTGTGCCTGTCTTGTGTAATGCTGTATTTGGTATTTAAACTTTCTGTGCTGTACAAAACTCTGGTGTTTGAGTGGCTGATGAAAGTGGGTTCTTAGCCCTGTTATATATGATTTTTGTGTAAATTTATCCTTTAATTGATGCAATGGTCTTGAATCATCAGGCTGAAAAAGATGGCACAGTTTTAGATGCAGAGTTTGTTGATGTATACAAAGGAGCTCATGGTGTTCTGATGGTGATGGACATCACCAAACCATGGTTAGTCTTGCTAGGCTGTTTTGTTTTATTTGTTTGTTTGTTTTATTGTCCACATTTATTGATTGATGTTTGATGTTTTTTGATAAGAAAAAAATTAGGTTATGGACCACACCTTTTGATACAAATTGGTTTTCATATGTTTGCAATAAAATTGACCCTCAGTTTCATGAGATTACATTATTTTTTCACCATTTTAAATAAATTTTCTGATAACCATATAAATTATATTTCTTCAAGGGCAATTGTTGCATAACACAATTCCAGTCATGTTTAATGCAGTTACCATGTCTCTTAGTGTCATTTAACCCTTAACACCCTAACATCAGCATGCATATTCTCCATACAGTTCTCTATACATTTCCTGTGGTGCTGACAAGGAGAATTTGTTTAACAATCAAGAACTTGTTTAGTTAGTGATCAATTCCTTTTTTCTTAAGACCTTAAATTGTGATTCAGGGTTGATATTGTAAGGAGAAATTAGATGCTGGTCAGTCGTAGGGGTCAAAGGCTGAAAGCTTTTACCAGGTTCTGGTAAACAAAGGCTAAGTTGACAGTTAATAATGCCACTGATCCATGTTTTAATTTAACTTTAGGACTTTTAAATATTTGGAGAGAGAACTTCCAAAAGTTCCAGCTCATATCCCTGTCCTTGTGCTGGTAAGCCTCAGATCACAACTGTGTTTGTGAGATTTCTTTATGTGGAATTATTTTGATTTGCCATTTTTTTTTGGGTAATCATCAAAGTCTTAATATAAATTAAGTGATGTGTGAAAAATTCATATGAAACACTGCAAATGTGATGATGTGACAATAGTTGTAACAAAGGTATGTCAACTTTGATCTTTGCAACTGTTGTGCTTACCACTAAATTGATGGTCACAGCAATTCAAGACATTTTTTAATTGAAGAAAGTTTGCGAACTTTTTTAGGTGAAAATTTATATTTTAGTCATCAAGACCAGCAAGTAACACAAACAATCAAGTGGTGATTGTCATTGAAAAAAAAGATTGCTGTAAAAAAGCCTTGAGAAATTTTCAGTGTGAATTTTTTGTAGAAAATACATAGCAATTCTTGTTGTAAAATAATTGTAATTTTTAAATTAAATGCATTTGTCAGGCCAACCACCGTGACATGGAAGAACATAGATTAATCCCTTCGGAAGAGGTCATTGCATTCATTGAACATATGGAGAGGTAAGTGAGATCTACTCAGTAATGCATACGTTCCAGTATTGTATGTTTAAACTAACATGTAGCTAAAGAAGTTTTCTTCTGGACTTATTCAAAATTAGTCCTTCTCTCTGGCCAGACCTCGTAAATTCTTCTCTACTTCATTAATTAAGCTGTAGATACTGTTACAGTGCAGCTGTCCGGTGATTCTCCTTATGGAAACAAAGATGACTGAATTATTAAAATGTAATTGTGGAATTAATTTCTCTTCTGATCGACACCTTACCACGTGCCATGTTCAACATTCTGGTAAAAAAAAACATACTTATGTCAACATACATGTGTATAAAAGAAAGATTTGGTTAAAGGCTTGTCTAAAGTTAAGAGTTGAGTGTAGTTGAGATTTGATTCTCGCAAGAATCAGTATCGGACGCATTCATGGCCTTTTTGATTTGCAGCCTTGTTGCATCTATATGTTATTTTACTCTTTTATGACGAGAGTCGAATTTTGAATCAGACCTGACAGGTGCCCTCCTGTGCATTATGCTGAGACCTCCATGAAGAACGGCTTTGGACTGAAATACATTCACAAGTTTCTTAATCTACCTTTCTTATTGTTACAGGTATGTATCCTGTGGAAAATTTTACCTGGCCTGATCCAGGCGTTCGGTTAGTAAGCGTAAACGGCGCGATGGTAGCGGCAGATCGAGGACGAGAGAGGTTTGGGACGACCTGACCCATACCTCTCATTTTCTCACTCCTCCGCTATTACAGCGCTGTTTACTTTCGCGCTTCGTTTTACTAACTGAAAGTCTGGGACAGGCTAAGTTCTACCTTGAAATAACCTTTTGTCTGATACGACCACATGAATGCCCTAATGCACAATAATATCTTCTATGTTTTTGAACAGAGAGAAACTCTTATGAAACAGTTGCAAGTCAATGCAGAAGACACCGAGGTACTTCAATGTTAACGTTTTGTTTTAATATGCTAGTTTTTTCTTTTTTAGTTTTTATTTTATTTTTCGTTGTCAGTAGTAGCTCATTCAGTTTCGTGTATGTTGAGAAAGAACTAAGATTTGTGCGAATTAAGATAAGTTGTTCGATCTTCCTATGGTGTAGCAATGTATTACGATAAGATACATTAGAAAATTAGAAAACCTTTACACAATTCTAATTTTGTTCCGTAGAGAGCAACTTTCAATCGCTCTGTAATTGGTCCAGAATACTCCCGCCATTCTCTCACCCAATCAGACACAAAACGAAAACCAATCACGACTTGTCACTCGGGTTTTCCCGCGCTTTAGGCAGTTATAACAATTGCATGAAACCCTTCGTAATGGTACTTTTGTTGCAGTCAACTCTTGAAGAACTGCAGATTCACAAGGAATCCGAGGAGCAGAACTACGAAAAGTGAGTTGCTTATAAGGAATTTGCTTCTTGTTAGCTTGTGATTGAAAACATCTCAACGCTGTCCCATACCAAAGAATTATATGTCTTGCAAAAAGAGTTTTTACTCACAATTTTATGATGTGACAGCTGATTCCCTTGCTGACGACTCTACAACACGTGCTCTTTAGCTCCCTCGCCCAACACACTGTATCTCGAACACAACACGCTCTCACTCGATCGCTCACGCAACACACTCTATCTCAAACACAACACGCATTCTCTCGCACTCCTCACGCTCTCTACTTCAAACATAACACACTCTCTTTCTTCTTTCTCCAATCAACACACTCTATCTCAAACACAACACGCTCTTTACCGGTCGCTTAGGCAACACACTCTATCTTAACACAACACGCTCCTTATCGGTCGCTCACGCAACACACTCTATCTCAAACACAAATTTGATTTTATTCAAAGGTTTGTGAGCTTGATGGACCGAAGGAGAAAAGAACACGAAGCCAAGAAGGCTGCCGCCGCGGCTGCTGCTGCAGAAGCAGATGGTGAAAAGACCGTGTCACCAGGTTCTCCTTCAGAAGATAACAGAACAGGTTTCACGTTGAAATATTAGAACAATTTTCAATTTATTTTAGGGAATAATTCAGAAGTGCTTTAGCTGTGCCCAAAACCCAAAACTCGCGTTGTGATTGGTCAAAAAAACTCTTTCCACCCTTCCAAACAATCAGATCATTGGTCACCCGCGCTTTTGGAAGCTTGCTTAAGTTCTCATTTATCCTCTTTTACTCATTATCTTCCTAAATTACGATGTATTACTGTGATTGGTTTGGTTTGGTTTTGGGTTTGTGACCCTCAATCGAAGTGTTCTTGATAAGTAATCTATTTTTTTCCTCCTTTGTAATGTTCTTGCAGGGAAAACTCCGAGTGGCGGTACTACCTCTAACGGAAGTTCTCTTAACGAGAAGGCGTCGCAGAAAATGCCGTCAGCAACAAGTCAGGAACCTGATAATGAAGGTAAGCGACTATATTTACGTCCCCAGTCAACTCTAAGTAGTCTTTCTTCTGTATTATTCCGTTCCCAGCCTAAATTTTTCGGTATATCTTCAGCAGCTCTGCCTCAGAATGGCTTGACACATTCCTCCACCAACATCGACGAGTTTATACCCGAGGATGAATTAGACGCAGGGTTTTTAGATGAAGACGGAGGGCCAAGAGGTAAAAAGCGCACAAATAAATCTGCAGCTAAGAAACCGCCGCCGAAACCTGTGGAAGCGGAACAGAACGAGAGTGACGATAGTGAAAGGTGAGGTTGGATTTAAGGTTTCAATGAATCAAGAGCAAATGATAGTTCGCTCCTCCGTCGCGGTAAAAACTTATTAGGGACCTTAAGCAAACCATGACGGCGACGGCAACGAGGACATGGAAAAACAAAAGATCTGATTGGCAGAACAATAGTTCAGCACGTGCGTTTTAAAACTTTGTACATTTCTTAGCCGTCCTATGCAAAACAACAACGTGAAATCACCACAATCTGCGTCGTTTGCGAACCGAAACCGCGACGGCAAATTATTCTAATTTCCATTTGGAACTCTACGCTTCTTTTATACGTTATGCTGAAGTTGAGATGTGGCGCCGTATAAGACGGTAAACACATAAACAAAAGCCATTTTTGAAATTCTAATTAAAGGTAGAAATTCATTTTTTAATCTAAGTATTCCTTGGCGTTGCCGTCCTGACTGCTTAAGACCCCAATTAATTACTCTTGTTGAGGCAAATGTACTGGAGCTGAATTTTCCGAAAGCATTTGTAACTTTCATTTTAAGTGTATTTGCCAAGTCGTTCATTATTGATTCAAATTTTATCTTCGATGTACTCGTAACTTTCTTCTTGAGGAGTCTCCTGGATAAAATATACAATAAAAGGCAACAGAACAGAATGGCATGTCATGTTAGTTTCACTGCTAAAGAAGTATAGTTTAAGACTCAAGTTACAAGTTTAACTAATGCTGCTACCGCCATTTGTTGTTTTTTCTTTATTTTTCTTTATTTCATTTTTTGTTTTTATTTTTTCCTTTTTCTCTTTCTTCTTCATTTCTTCTGAAGATTTTTTCCTTCTCATGGTCTGAAATAAAAAAAAGTCGTTCAAAAAGGCATGTCATATTTGTCCGACTGCCAAGGAAAAATTGTTGAAGAAAAAGTTCTCAGGAGTATACAATGAAATAGTGTTGGTATTCCACAAATTTTTATCTGTCATTCTTTTTCCCTTCTAATTAAGATTTCGTTTGTTCATTTCTCTTTAGTGACAGTGAAGGACGTAACCCAATGGTGGCGGGATTTGCTGAGGACATAGACTCCGACGATGAAGATATCCCACCTGTTGTTAACAATCACGTTGATGAAGAACTCGATGATGATCCTTTTACAACACCAAAGAAATCCAACACAGCCTTGACTGTTGAGTTAACTTCAAGCGAGGAAGACATAGAAGACGAAGAGGACAAAGTTGAGGTGGAAAAGAGAAATGATGGAATGAAGAAAGGAAAGGAGGAACTGAAGACTGATGAAACGCAAAAAAGGGAAAGTGGATCCATGAAGTTAGGCTTTGAAATACCAGTCAAGTCTCTGATGACAGAAGAACCTGTTGTAGATGGTCTTGGTCTTGCAACAGACGACGTCGATGATTGGCTGAACTCGCCTGATACAAATCCCAAGGTATTGTTGATTACAAACTGTAGGCTTATGTTATATCGTTGTGACTCCGGAAATCTTAGAGCTAAGTTTCCCGACCGACAGAAAAAAAAATGACTCGGTGTTTGGTCCTTACAGTTAAGAGGGAAATAAGTGAGTTGCTTCTTACTTCAGCATTGTTGTTTTATTTGTTTAATTTCTTCTTTTCATCTTCTCATTTATACTTCCACAGACTTGAAATGTTCTTGTGAAAAAGAGACACGGCCACTGCATTGCTCTTGGCAGTATTACACTGGCCCATACGTGTGATCCCCTCTCCGCTTCTGTCTTAAAAATTCTAGTTACGCCCCCCCTGCGGCTGCTTCTTATTTCTCTCTAATACAGTGACTCGCGCTCGCTTGCTCACTGTTTGTACTCAAAACTTAAGTCGCGAATTTCTTGTGACGTAGCGATAACTGAGGGGATTTTACTCACCCTATCGTGAGAATTTATAGGCTCAAAAACGTTCTTTATTTTCTTGCAGCCTCGATATTTGTGTAATTGAAAATCTTATGTTTTTTTCTTGTCATGTATTTTTCTTTCTGTACCGAAGACTCCGTTTCGTGCTGACAAAGACTACAATACAAGGTCAGTGAATTAAATTCCCAGCGTTTTATAGCCTGCAGTCTGATTTTGGCGAGCTAGTGTTTAGTATTTTCTTGGTAAAAAATCATAGCTACCATAGCTACCATCTTTGACTTTTATAGTCGTGGAAGGCAGGGGAGAGAAAGGAATTTGTACTAAGGCAGAGGAGGGCGACCGTCTACTCTTACTCTAAATCAAACATGGCCGGCTGCATAGAAAATCACTGACGAGATTTTAACGCAAATACGTCCTTATAAGACGCCTGCATTGCTCGCGATACTTTTGATAACTGGTAAATGTGGTTAACTAGAGAATTTGTGTTACGATTTGAATCTTATTTTCTAATTGTGGATACATCGAGAAGAACCCAAAATGATTTGTGTTCAATTATGTTTTGTTAGAAAAAGCGACACTCCTGTCATACCGGCAGATGATTGGGAACAGTTCATGGCTTCACAAATGAAGCAACAAACCAGAGTAGCGAAAACTGGTAAGCAGCTAGGTTTTATTTTTCTTTTCCTGTCCTGTACTGCATTCTACTGTGGCTTGAGTTAACCTCGTAAAAAAAGGATTTTCCCCAGGTAGCAAGGCAGGGAACTTCTGCACTCATGCCAAGTGGCCCATCCAGCTAAAGCTTATCCCAGTTTCCTTAGCATGAGGCAACTAGGAGTATCTCTTGGATGGGATGCCAGTTCATCGCAAAGTTACGCCCCGGCATTTCATCAGGCTTTCCTGACAATTCGCCAGAACCCATTTATTCTCTTGGGTGGAGAAGCGCTGTGAGAACAGTCAGGTCGCCTCTTCCTAAGACTACTATTAAACTTTTGAGTTGTTCTGTTTTTTCTTTCGTTGTAGCATCTAACTCTTTAATAGACATGGGCCTCGATGGAGAAGACAATGGAGATACAAGTAAGTGAAGAAACTTTAGAACAATTGTTGTGTAATGATCGGCACTGATTTTCTCCTTGCATTCTTTGTATCTAATAGTACGTGGTCTTAATGAGAAGTAAGAAACTGGTCTGAAGCGGAAGTCGTTGTGTTCATGTAATTTAAAGCAAAGCTGTTGAGAGAAGTTGAGGAATATCGACGACGTTTAATATTTAGGACTCTGCTGTAAGCTAATTGTCATTTCTCTCCTTCCTATCCGCGTTTAGATGAAGAAAGTAGAAGCCGTAAAAAGAAAGAGCACAAGGTATGTGCATTTGTTCAAGGATATGCTCAGATACTCTACTTCCGGCATTTTTGCTTCTTAACCCTATAACCCTTTAACTCCCATGAGTGACCAAGACAGAATTTCTCCTTACAATATCAATACTATATCAACCAGATAAGTGACGAGAATAAGGAAAAATATCAATTTAAACGCGTGAGGCGCTACGCGTGTCTTTTTTGTTGCTCGATCGCTTTGGGTTGATCTCTCTTTTTGTAACAGACACCTCTCTGACCTAACGCGGGGTTCGCCGCTCGTGCTTCAGCGCCTGTGGGGTCCAGCTCACTGGCTACCAAGGACTTTCTTTCCCTGTTTATGACTTCCCGTATTCGGTAGCTCTGAACAGCCTCCTTGGAAATATATATGATGGTGACTGAAATGACTTATATATATATATATATATATATATGTATATATATATATATATGTATGTATGTAAATAAAAGAACCGCAAAATGAATTTAACATTTGGTGCATGGCTTTCGGCTCGATCTGCTCGCACGTTATGAAATGAAAACATAGTGGTAAGTGTCTTCAGTATATCTGAGCTACGAGCAGTCCCTTTCCTAACTATTATATAAAACAAAGAGGTTCCGTGTTGCCGTGGGTCTGTACAGTGATAGATCACGGAGGATGTCAAAATGTGGGAAGAACATCAGTGACACACTCGGCTGCGCCTCGTGTCCCACTCTGATCTATTGCTAAACAGAAGCACGGCAACTTGAAATCTATTTATTAAGTAGAGTCTCAGCTTTGTATTTGTTTTCTTTCTTCAGAGTGGCGAGAAATCTAAAAGTAAACATAAACGAAAGCATAAGGATAAAGGGGAAGACGGAGAGGATAGTGAAAAGAAGGAGAAAGATAAAGAGAGGCGAAAATCGCGACATCGAGAAACCGATGAAGGAAAGGACAGGAGGAGAAGTCGAGACGACGAAGGCGAAAAGAAAAAGAAACATCGTAGCAAGCACGGTAAAGGGAAAAGCGAGGATGGTGTGCAAGGTGGCGTGACATATGAGGAACTATGATACAAAAGGGTTCCCTTCGTTTTGGTGTCTACCTTGCCTCCTCTGCCATCAAGTGTCACGGTGATGATCTAATTAAACCAAGAGTGTATCTGACCGCGATGAAAAACAAAAATGGGCTTGAACAAAGCTGGATATGCAGTTGGTATACTGCTGAATATGTTGCTGAAATGACTCAGCTATGTCCACTGTCTGTTGATGTATTTTATACCAAATTGAAATTGCTGAAACTTAGTGCGATCACAATATGGTTGAGCAAGATCCCTAATTGCGGAAAGCTGAATGTAAACTTGCATCGAGGTGGTGAGACAGCGCTTTGCAATGAATAATCTCGTATTCCTAATTTTTTACGTATGAACGCAAATGACATTTTGTAAGTTTGTTTTCTAAAGATGAATAATTATTTGTGTTAGGCTGCAACAAATTATGTAATAGGGAGACTGAACCGACCAAATGCTTATTCTAATCCCTTAATAAGCATTCTGTGAAGTTTGTTTCAAGTAGGATGTTTTTGTGTTAGTTCTCGTTTTAGTGAATGGCTAAAATTTTTCTTATTCGCGTATTGCGACGTTTATACCCAACACCTCGCGTGTTGCTGTAGAGAACCTACATCATCAAATTTATCCCTAAAGTATCACCCCTGAATCAAATAATAAGGTTATGAGGATAAAGAAAACTTTCATCTGTGATCGTGAACTCAAGAGCTCTTGATTGTTCGACAAATTCTCCTTCCAAGTACCATGAGAAACGCACGGAGAACAGTGAGGAGAACTTGTGTACTGATATTAGGGTGCTAAGGATTAAGTTAAGCACCAGCTTGAACATCGTCTAATAGTAGGTATTGATAAGATTCCATAACTAAGACACAGAAAGAAGGACATGATCACGGTGCATTTTGTTTTCCCTAGGTGTTAAGAGGACTCTGAGACTTTAGTATATGACTTTTTACTCTTGAAACCATATTTTTCCCGCACTTTATCCATCCTGGCGCAGTCAGCGCGGATAGGGATTGCAGAAAAATCTGATTTTCCCAAAATCTAGACCTGAATCTGTTGGAAAAACTGACAGATGAAGTCCAGTAGTGAAATAAACTAAAATAATGAGACGAAGATACAAGGTTTGATTCTTGAACATTTTATTGTCCTAATAATTGAAAGAGCAGTAATTTCATTTATTTTTCTGTTTCAAGATCGAATGGATGCATATTCCGTGTCAATTGGCAAAACATACAATTTGGTGACGAATTGTGCAATTATGAAATAAATGTGACGTGTCTCTTCCAGAACTGAGCGTAGCTTTCTTCACTCTTGTTCGAGAAAAAGTTGTCCACTTTCTACCACCTGCGTCGTTCTTTTGACGTTATTTAACTTCTTGTACAACACCATTGATTCAGTTGAAACCTTTAATACAAGAAATAGTTGCGGGCGACCGGAACTCAGAAAATTTTGTCTAACAACCGCACTTCAGCGCATCTTCAACTGTTCCTGTGAATGTAACTTGATGACAAAAATGTCTCGCTTCAAATCAAATGTCTTCTCCCACGCTATTTTCTCCTGAAGTCTTAAAGAAGTCGGTTTCAGCAAAACGTGACCACTCGTGAATCCTTAGGAAAATCTCCCTCCAGGACCACCGTGACTAGACAGAAGTAGTACACCCAATTGCATTGAGGGTGTAACCGGAATTACTTTAAGAAAAAAAAATGAAAATGCAAGGTTGATTAAGAGGGGAAAGAATTACCATTTTTCATGTTTGTAGCTTTTATTGTTGGCCCAGAAATAGAACGGTCATGATTCTCCGTTTCCTCAAGCTTTCGTCGCCCGCTTAATTCGCAGAATCAAGCAAGGACTTAGCGCGAAACCTTGATATAACTTTTAATAAGTCGAACAAGAATTTGAGATCAAATGAAGTTTCCATGACGTCATCAAAACTGGCCCGTACCAGTTTCTCAGCGTTGGCAGAGCGAGAGCGGCCCCAAAGCTTCCTTTAAAAAAATTCTTTTCAAGACCTGGGAAAACCACCGCGACTGATAAGGCCTGTAAGCTTTTTCCGCTAAGTGCCAAATCCTGTCGTAAGAATGCGGTGATTCTCTTCTGTTGGTAGCATATTTTCATGCTATGGTAAAAGTGGCCAAAAATATCACAGCTATCACTTCTTAGAATCTTGAACTTGTCCGCGAGGCTACCATCACGAAATTTACTCGTTCGTTGCACGGTGTTGTAGCAATGGAAGTGGATGTCCGATTACTAGTTCTTACAATTCTTTCAATGTTGATAAAAGCCCACGAAGGAGCCCCGAAAGGTAAGCCGAGTTGTTTTTTTTTCCACTTCGTTCTATCTACATGGTGAATCGTTTAAAGTTCACTGTGGGTGCCAAGATCTTTTCAGTAAGTTTTAAGCAGTTTGTAGCTGTTTTCAGTAATATTACTTCACCAGATTTCACGTGCGTGTTCAATATTTGCATTTGCTAAACCTACATTAATAACCGTGCTTTCTTTCATGCATCCAGTCAATGTTATCTTGCAATTCTGGTGGCGAATTAAAAGCTTCCATTGCCTTCGTACGAAAAACTTATATTCGATGTAGTAAAGACGTCTGATTAAATAGTTTGAACACTTCAACAAACATATAGCTGTAAGCTTAATTATCATATTGTTTTGATTTATCATTGGATTATCCGACTCCAAGTTTTAAAGGATTTTCTGTTGGTAATACGCCAGTATCAATACTTATTTTTTTTCGTCCAGTTCTATTATCAGATTAGTGACTAATTCCCGGTGAAATATATGGTGATCTCTAAGGGATGAGTCCGCAATTTGTTAGAACCTTGTTGCATTATTTTTCATGTTTTTCTTATAGTTCTGGGCCCATATTGTCTATGTTATGTTTTTGAAATCCTAGAGATGATAAATGTACAGGCTGATTCATCCGTAAATGTGCCAAGTCTTTACATTACAGTACTGCAGTATACACACTGTTTATCAGTAAAATATATTGTCTTCGGTTACTGTAGAACACAATTTTTTGTGAGGCTTTTTCTCACATCAGTTAAGCTGAATTTATTTTATTAGCAAAATCACTAATTAGTTTTGTCAATAACCATTCCAAACAAAACATTCACTCTTCGATTATTGGAAAAGAGCAAAATTATCAAAATTACAATATGAGTGCAGGAAATATGGGTAAACCACAAACCCACTTGACTGCTACTTATATTAAGGTTTTAATCTCTGAGTAGCCTTATGTTAGTCACATAATGATTAAATCTTCAGAAGTAAAAGTACTTAATCAATAGATTCCTTGCGCTGCACATCTGTTAAGTAATATATCATATAGTAAACATCAAAATGCAGTAAGAACAACAAAAAAAGGACCAACAAGGCATAGCTGAGTGTGTCACTGCATAATGGAGAAGCAAAACATCGTCAGTGGTGATATTATGTATCTGTCCTCCAATAGATCTTATGGAAGAACCAATGAAAATGCAAGTGTAAAATTCATCTTATTTTATAATTAAGCATCTTTCCGCCTCTTATCATCTCTCAGGAATTAAAATTCCTTGTAACATATTTTTTTTTCTCTCTAACTCCAGTTGACTTAGCAGACAAAATACTCCTTCACTGCACTTGGTGCCTAAGAAACATTTCAACAGCAGCATGCAGAGTTCTAAGCAATGGGACTATATCCTGCATCAGATGTACAGCACATTTACAAGATGGTTCTCTTTGTGACATGTGCGGAAACTCTGGAATGAATAATGACAACAAGACTGGACTTCAAGCATGTGACTCCTGCATGTGTAATGGTAGTTTTGATAGCATCCAAGTTACAAATTGTAACCACAAAGCTGGCCAGTGTGTAACTTGTGCACCGCGTGGCTCAGAGAAGGAGTGTAGAAAATGTCTGGACACAGGGCATGGTTCAGAGTCATCTGTTGACAATTGTGTAACAGGAAATGACAAAGTAGAAGAAAAGGAAAAATCAGGTACGTGTTCCTTACAGATGTGGAATATTCCATGAGTGCGCGTAAAATTTGTTTTTGTAATCACTTGACTCATTACACTTCAAAATCAGCAGGCATTATCACCCACACATTCCCTTAGGTTATGACAAGGAGAATTTCTGAAACATTCAAGAGTTTCTTAAGTGTGGGATATTGATCAAATGAAGCCTTTAAGTGGTACTGTGGTTCTTTCTTTATTCACTCCGAGCTTTCGCCATTCTTCGGCATCATCAGGGGGTGATGATGCCGTAGAACGGCGAAAGCTCGGAGTGAATAAAGAAAGAACCACAGTAGCACTTAAAGGCTTCATTTGATCAATATCCCACATCATTACGACATGCTACTAAAGGACATGTTCAAACATTTAGTTTCTTAAGTATGTTATGATTTCCTTATTTCTTGTGACCTTAAATAATGTGTGATTGAAGGGTGATATTTTAAGGAGAAATTGAATGCTGGTCACTCTCTGGGGTCATAGGGTGAACCCATATCAGAAAATTAATGAGTGATTGTTCTTCTGATGGCTCTAAATCTCAGCTTAAACTTTCATGTATGTGTTTATTATACATTTAACTGTTGAATACTGCATGATCATAGATACATTTTTTTTGAATTGCTCAACCTGTATTGAAACTCTGAACTGTGTTTGATCATTTAACTTTTGTTTGTGAACTTGTGTTTATGAATAGCACAATAATTCAACTTAGATGCATTTGTGCTGTAAGGACATTGGGATGGTTGTGTATGGTTTCTTTCAAATTTCTTTAGTGCGGCATTGACCCTTGCAATAATACCTTGTAATTCAGGTATTAATGCCATGTTTTGTTCCAGGATTTTCAACAAAAGAGAAAGTCATTGTTGCTGGTTGTTGCACCTTTGGTGCAGTCTGCCTGTTTATGATCATATTCCTGATCTATCGGCACTTCAAAAGCAGGCGTTTTAGTGTGAAAAAACCTTTCTGGACAGTCGAACTCACAAATCGTAACTATGATGACCTGGACTTTTCTCTTCTGGATCCCATTACTGACATTCCCCTGGTATACCGTGCAGACATTGGCGAATTTGATAATGATGCCTTGCTCGGTTCAGAGAAACCACAACTGAGTATGGAGGTTGACGAGGCTACCGATGTGTCTTAACAAGAAATGTTTGGTATACGACTAAAAACACATGATACTTGTGCACATAGTGAGGCATTTATATCATAGGTGATGTGAGCCAAGAGCATCAGGTTACTAAGTAAATATAAATATACATGTTCTGTGCCTTGAGTGCTGACATGTTAGCCAGAGTAATGTTAAGATTTAAATCATTATCATTAAGGTATATCAAGGTTTGGTCTTGAGAAAGTTAACATAATCTCTTTGCATGTAGTAACCAAAAGTAATACCGCTAGTTTAACAAATCCACTACGGAGTAGTTGGTAAAACACAAGCTTGTTTGTCAGTTGGCCATGTTGTGCAGCTGTACACAGTATTTGTTGTGTACTGGGCATGTATGTATCTGTTGTCTTGTTTTCCTATTAATTATTATTATTATTATTTCCTATTTGTTTTATCTATGCACACCAAGGTTATGTCTACTGCACTTAAGTATTGGGTATGGAAACATTTTGTAAGAATTACAAATTGGCACATTAGAGGTAGTATTCATATTAACATCATGTCTATTTAATTAGAACAGTAAACTGACTTCCATGTTTGTAATGGAGAAATAGTCCTATGTCTTTTGACCCCTCAAAATTAGTTAATATGAAAGAGAATTTTCAGTG